GCCAGTTGCAATACTCACAGAAACTCGAACATCGAACGATCCTGCCAAGAAACCAACTGTCTGCGGTTCTACCAGCGTTGTCGTCCCACTCGTTTCGTGAACAACAAGGGAACAATGAGACACCATTGAGGTCGTGAGATAAGAATTGCGCGGTGATCTCAAAGCCCACAAAAGGGGATGAATGGCAGAAGTTCACTCATTATGGCGATGCACTCATTTCGGTTGGTCAGCTTAGGATTTCGCAGATGTACAACGCTTCCAATATCTTTCTAACACCGATCTTATTCTCGTAGGCTAGCATTGCATTTGATATCAAAATCTTCGCCTTGATGCTCTTCTAGTCAATGCCTGTCAAGTGGAGTTAGCAGGCTTTCTCGCCTTTTACCTGCTAGGTGTTCTTCATCGCGTATGCTTAGCATCCTTTCCGTCTCACCAGTATATATTTCGTCACAGGCTGAGCACTGAAGTTGGTATACCGTCACTCGTTGTGTGCAATCTCCACTCCTTCCGAAGAAACAACGCAGTTATCTGTCGCGCATGCACGATCATTGAGTCTGTTGCGGATCAAAGGACGTTTGATATTGTCTGCTGGTACATTTATCAAGACAGCATCATTAGTCAATCCCCTCGTGCAATGCACTGCCATATTTCTGCGCTGACCTTTGTCTGATATATGTAAATGGAAGTCTGAGTTGCACCACATTCTCATAATTTCTCGGCGGGTATCCTTTTGCGCCTGACTTTCTCTGCCCTCCCGTTCCACTTCCCCGTNCACACTCCTATAGCTGTTCCGTACATGTTTCGAACTACTGCATGTTTCACAGCTCCGGGGTGAGCAGACTTTGAATGGAGTAAGATGTTCTTCGAGCTGCCTTTCCGAGTTGTACCTTCCACTTGAGATGTTTATCTGCGGGTTAATATAAGGAAGCCAGCCTTTATGCGAAACTTCTCTCGTGAACTTGATATACTGCGACTGTCGTTGAGGATGTTAAACGCTCATCCATCTCTTGCTGCGTTGATGTAATTACGAGGCAGTCATTGATGTAGCGACAGTACATAATGGACATGTAAGCTATAACTGGCCTTTCCATTCTGCCCATAAAACAGATAGCTAGGAACGGTGCTAGTCGCTGGCCCATATTTTTATGCCCGGTATTTTTATTTTGATCCGCAACAGACTCTATGATGGTGCATGCGCGACAGACAACTGCGTTGCTTGTCTGTTCGGAAGGAGGCTGCACACAGCGAGGGACGGTATACCAACTTCGGTGTTCAGCCTGTTAGAAATGTATATTGGTGAGACGGGAAGGATGCTGGGCACACGCGTCAAAGAACATCTAGCAGGTAAAAGGCGAGAAAGCCTGCTAACTCCACTTGGCAGGCATCGACTAGAAGAGCATCAAAGTGAAGATTTTGATATCAAATGATATCGGTGCTGGGAAATATTGGAAGCGTTGTACATCCGCGAGCGGAATCCTAAGCTGAACAACCGAAATGAGTGCATTGCTATAACGAGTGAATTCCCGCCATTCATTCCCTTTTGTGGGCTTTGAGATCACCGCGCAATTCTCATCTCACGACCTCAACGGTGTCTCACTGTCCCCTTGTTGTTCACAGAATTGAGTGGGACGACAACGCTGGTGGAACCGCAGACGGTTGGCTTCTTGGCTGGGATGTTTCGGTACCTGTACGGCAAAGCATTCTGAAATATTAGGTCATTTTAGTGTTCTTTGGTAAAGTCTTCGCGATAACAAAGGAGCTCGGGGTTCTTCTATGATGGAGTTAACGCGTAGATGACCTTATCAATTTTAGCTATTAAAGATTACTTGATAAAGCGCTGTCAAAATCGATTAGGTTCCACGTCTTCTCTGCACCGTATACTACTTGGTCATTATCAATAGGCGAAGGGCCAGGAAGTTTCAGGCGTTGTTTGATTGGGTCAGACAGGGATAGGGCATTAGTGAAAATCATGCATTGTAAAATTGTCGTTTGTCAGCAAGATGCGGGCTAGGATAGGCGCCTAATATCTACTTCCGTATCCTACCAGAAAAACCTGATCTGCACCGCTTTTATCCCCTGAAAATTTTGGTAATCTATTTGCATAAGAGGGTAGGGTTTAACAAAAGCAGTGTCAAGTCTGTCAATGCTATTATTCCCAACTATATCCATGTTTTCGCACTGAGAAGATGGGTTAACATCGCTGAAGTGTACAAATCGAGGGAGAGGGGTGGAGAATGGGTCAATCAAAGATGAAGCGTCAAAGATTGGTACAGTATGAGAGAGTTGATCCAGAAGAGGTTGTGTTGAATGGGGCTGCGGTGGGATGTTATTATGTACGAAAGTTGATCGGTTATCACTTGAAACTATTTGTTTATAATTTCTGTGGACCACGGATATCAGATTATAGGATCGCGAGGCCTACAACTGATAGTGTAGCGATTTTAGGGTGCTTCCGCATACTGATACCAGTTAAGCTGCGCACGATACAGTGCGCGTTTGATGACCTTCGATAAATGGACTCTCTCGAAGATAAGTCCGAGCGAATGTATTCTAGTAGCTGAGAAGTGGGGTCCATCAATAATGGATGACTAACGACTTTTTGTCTACATGAGTGCTTCACTCGATGGAGGCACCTACCGCTTTCACGCTTTTCACAGGAGTTATTTACATACGTCATACGCTATTCATCATGACATCGGAGGCAAGTAAATCTAACACAATATTTCCTCGCCTCTACCTGTTGCCGTCGCAATTTATCAGCACAGAAACCCTTAGTAAAGAAAATGCAAGAAAGTCAGTCTCAGCTCCTTTTGTCAACCTCTCTGTTATTCTCATTATTATGCTCCTCCGAAGTTATAACGAAAATTCAGTTTTATTCCCCCCACTTTTTTTATTTGCATCTGTCGGAGCCGCCATTTGAATGACTACCATCTATTGTTTGGGGAAAAACCTGTTACGCGACTGGGGAACAGCAAGCGAAATCTTAATAAAGTAACAATTCATGCTGAAAAGAAAGAAAAATGGGAATCATCTTTTTAAAATAGATTTTGGACGAAAACCGTGTTGATAGCAGCATAAGCATCAAGATTTTACACAAAACTTTATGTGAAAGATACCGATGTTCTTCAACCGCAGAGGATTACCAGGGAGGTGTGTAGGAGACGGAGAGGATGGTAGCGATTGAAAGGCCCTAAAATGAGACATCAGTAGTTCCAATCAGTACACTTATTAATCAACGATCTTTGTTACCGTGGAAAATGTTTAATGAGTTTTAAAATGGACAAAGATTATAGGAGCGCTTGAGAGTACCTGGGATAGGCATAACAGCAATTCCAACCGGTGGACTTATCCGGTTATTGACTTACCACAGAAGATCTTAAGAAGCTTTGATAGAACCTGAAATTAGAGCTTTCAGTAAGTTCAGTCGGCAGATTTATCTTTTGACTAACTCACCGCAGAGAAATTTCAAAGAGGTGTAGAGGAGGCGAAGACAAAATAATAAAAAGACATTGTTCAAAGGGGATGGGAGAGATTGGATGACCTGAAATGAGACCTTACCCTAACTTGAATTAGTAGACCTATCCAGTGGTAAACTATCTCACCGTTGAGAATTTTCAAGGGTTTTAAGGAAGGCGAAGAATATAGGAGGGATTACATTAATCTGAAAAAGGTCTTACAGCACTTGCAATCAGCAAAACTACTAATTCTCTCATCCTAGAATATTGCTATGGGAGTTTTAGAATAGGCGGAGAGGATAGGAGCAATTGAACGCGACAGAGGGAGCCTGAAGGGAAACAATCTAGTATTCCATTCAATAGACTCATCCAATGGAGAACGTTATTACAGTTGGTGGTTTTGAAGGAGCTTCAGAGGTGGTAAGCAAGGCAGGATCGATTGAGGTAACCTGAAAAAGATTTCGTAGTGTTCGCACAGTAGGTTCACCGACGATAAACTCTCACCATAGGAACTTATAAGGAGATAGATATTTTGTGGCGAAGGTGATGGAGACATGACGGAAAATGTTACTTGAAAGTAGAACCTACGAGAGCTTTGATCGGCAGACTTATCAGTTAATGAACTGTCTTACCATAGAGCATTTTTGGGGATTTGGAGAAGTCATAGAGAACAGGAGCGATTGAAATAACCTGTAATCGGTAATTTACAGTCGTTCAAAGTAGTATAGTTTTGAACTAACCGCAACGGCTTTGAATTAGTTAAAGTTGTGGCGGACACCATTGTAAAGACAGGAGAGACCTAAATTGACTTGATGTTTTGTTAACTGCTGTTATATCGCCGCAGTACGCGTTCCGAAAGTCTCACAAGGTTGGCGATTCATGGACAAAACTTCAATCTCGGACGGGACTCGAATCCGTACTTGTCCTTTTCGGGCACGGTGCTCTTATCCCTTACACCACCGGGACCCCGCTTGCTGATAAGCTATGGCATATAAGCCATTTAGAAGGCTGACAAGCGTTTGACCCTGAGCCTTGTTGATGGTAGTAGCGAAGCCCAAACGAACCGGAAATTGTCTTCTGTGAAGTCGAAATGGAAGTCCTTTATCTGCATACAGGTCCATGCGAGGAATAAGAACGAACTTACTCCAGTGGCAAACCGACCGGTATCCAAGCGCGTATTGGCCAATTTGATCCACAATAATTCTTGTGCCGTTTCGAGGGCCTTTAGATACGTCAAGATTCCGGTGCAGCATGACTGTGCACCCTTGCTTCAGCCTGAGTTCATGCGGAGGCATACCACCTGTTGCAGCTTGTTTAGGCGCTCCACTTGATAAGTGAATGCATCTTCTGGGACTGCATTCTCCACTTCGTCAATGCTTTTGTAAGCCCTACAACCCCCGTTCCTCAGGCATCCGCTCTAGCGTAAGATCGTTCATGTGCGCTACGTGAATGTTCTTAGGAGCAAAAATTGCTTTTTCCGCTAGTTCTGCGATATCGCTCACTGCAATCGTTTCACCAAAAATTTCCTGTATAGGATCTCCTGAACTATAGTGCAGGAGGTAGCTCAATGGAACCATTTTCATCCTCAGTGTATGCTTCCTCTCCAATCTGTAGCAGCATCCTTGCCCACTCTCCACTATGCAGCAGCTGTCATATTCACTGAAAGATAATGGGTGAAAAAATGCTGCCACAAATGAGACCTCTTAATGCATGCGCTTTCCAAATCTTCGTCGCCCTCTCTCGTTAACGGCGAGAACCTGCCGAGAGTCCTCCCCCCCCCCAACCACCATAACTTTATCCCCGAATGGCAATTCGTTTTGCATGATATCTCTCAGCAAAAGATCAACCGCTTCCAATGCCCACTTAGGAACCATGGAAATTTCATTCCAGAGAATGATGGCAATACCATGCAGTGCTCTGGCTTCAACAGACTCTCTCGTCATCGTGCCTGTTTTGCAGTCGTCATGTACGTTCAAATTAAAGGTACTGTTTGCAGTTCTACCTCGAGGTAGCAAATTAGAAGCAATACCAGTCCAGGACACACACATGACGCTTTTCCCCATTCCTAAAAGAGTGTGATACAGAGCTGTGAACAAATATGTTTTACCGCTCCCCTTGGGCCATCCATGAGGAAATGTCTTCCGACATTTCCTGCATCAATCATTTGTAGGATGTCGTCTGATGCTGACCTTTGATGTTCATTCAAATCATCAAGCAATCCTCTCCCCCGAGCTGCGTGTTCAGTTCGGATTCATAATCCTCATTTATATATCCTGGCTTTCGATCAGCCGGAGGAGTAACGAAATTGCTTAAGTTGACTCCACATATATGCATTCTGTCCATAAGGTCATAGTAGGCCCGGATTATTCCTTCCTCATCGCTCAAGCTACGGTGCACACAATCTTCTGCCATAGCCGACTCGAACTGTTCCCACAGATGCTACGGCTCTGTAAAGTCGCAAAAGCATAAAAGACTACGGAGTTTTCGTGGCATTTGAAACTCTGTCGCTGCCCTCAGACAACTTTCGTGATGGGAGTCATCATGCATCAGTCCAAGAGCCTTGGCCGCTTCCTTGAAACTGTTACAAATAACACCATTCATAGTTTTCAGTTCATCAAATGACTTGGCTCCTCTTCTGTTTGAGAGAAGTATTCGGAGGCTGTAGCGCTCAGCATCCGGTGATTTGCTGTATATATTCTACCTACTTGCCGACTTTGCTTCCTTCTGATGTTCCACTTTCTTGTCTGCTGATCTAATGTGAAGTGGACAGCTGGACATAGAGTAGTGTCCGAGCATCGACCTCACCTTGTGATACCTTTCCAGCTCCGAACGCAGCCTCATGTTCCGCGTTGAATTTGTAATACGCTGTTAGCATCGTGTCTCTCTCTGCTGCACGACGAAGAGCTTATTCCTCTTGTCCACTCTGGAAGACAACACCCTCGCGTTCTGGCAAATGCACTTGCAACCGGTATACGGTATGCGGTTCGCAATGGAGGTCAAAGCGAAGCAATCTGTGCACAGATTCCGGAGCACACACATATGTATCTGGCGTTGACAAATGCATCAATCTCGTTAATTGCTCCAATCCCATCCTCTCCATTTGTTCTTATCATACGTAACACCGCTCTATCTGTACCCTTTGTATACGTACTTGTACATATATTTTACGGCGTGAACCATAGCACAAATCTCAACATTTAAATGGGCGTTATACCGAAGCGCCAAATATCTATTGTACGGTACCACAGATTTGTTATCAAGCGTTGTGCTACCGTATTGTACTGTTCTACCATCGTTGAGTCGTCTATATTCTGGATAGCTGTCTACCCCTATGTTTGTGGCCTCCCTGAATGGTTTGGGGAACTTCCATGAATACTGGGCGTCTACCATACACGGCGAGGTTAGGTTGTCCAAACCGCTGGGCCTATGCATCATGCAAGATGTTACAATTTATAAAGCCGAGCTTCTGTTACTGGAGTAGGTATAACAGCCTGCATTACTGCATCTTTCTTGGCTTGTCCTCTCAAGCTATCGTGACTAAAATATGGCGGTGAGGAAGCCCTCTTTTCTGCCACTCCATTACACTTATGTGCGCAATAATAATAAGTTTGGAGTATGTTCCGCTTGAGAAGATCTGTGTACAGCTTCTGCAATTTAATATGAAGCACGCGACCAACAATGTCAGGCCGATAGGAAGCTGATGGGCCTCTACTCCATTGTTCTACAATTTCCCTCCATGTCGGATTGCAAGTCAGCGTCATAAACAGGTCTGGCTTCCCATATTTGGAAACAACCGCCGTAGCATCTTGATAGTTTTGCACCATGTTTCGAGGTGAGCCAGGAAACGAACGAGGTGGAATGACCCTCATCGTTCCTGGCGGGCCTTCGATGTCCATATCTCCTGCCACATAGTGAGCAAGACCGCGAGCGATATGTATCTACTCGGAGTTCCCTTTGGTGTGTTCTGTCGTAGTTCGAACGATCTTTTGCTCAATCTTTACTGAGCTGTCTACCAAAAATTGTTGGAAAAGCTTGCCGGCAAAGTGAAGGGGATTAAATTCCACCCTCGCAACGATCATATTTGAATGATATTCCTTCTGAGAGATTCTTGTTCTACGGCGTTCTGACGAGTTTTAAAATGTTAGGGTATGGTTTATGGTCTGACCAAGTTTTTCACGTGGGAATAAAATAGAACAGGAAAGCGGATGGCATCCGGCGTCGTAAACGCGTACATTGCGCAGGCCTCTTTATCGTAAGTGCACGGCGAGATCATGCTTGGTCCGTACATCTCCTTGCTCTCCTGCAAACACGACGGCCACTTCGTTTGCTGTTGGCTCATTGTGACGGCATGGATCCAAATTCGAATTTCAAAGTATCATCTTAACTGGCATCGCCGTTCTCCCTTCCCTTGCTGCTCAAACCTCCTCTTCGAGAGCAACGTCGTACAGCATTTTGCACGCTTGTGGAAAAGCATTGAATGCATGTTACAGTGTACTGAGAGATCGGTTCAGAGCAGGGTTACAGTGTATGTTTGCTGGATTTCCCGCTCTTTCATAAGCCACCGTTGATGTGTCAAGGATGTACACTTGACCGTACCGTGGCAGCTGACCGTCCCCTGGGTGAGCAGGACCAATTCTGTGGTAAATTTGACCGTGAATACGGAAGCAGTAGAGCCCTTGCAGTGGGGCATCCAGTTGAGCCCAATAGGCGCAAATGCAAAGGCGCTGTTGTAATTCCGACTCGGATTTGAAGTGTCTCGCTCCACAAATCACGTTTAGCATTCGGCCTTTAACAGGGCCGTCATAACGCTCCTCCGGGATGACGTTCGAGAGAGCTATCCGTCTGCGCCTAGCCGCGATAGTTCTACTTCTCAACTGGTGTCTTTCTAATTCAGTACATCGACTCTCCTCGACTTGACTTGCCGAAAGTCTTGTTCTTTGCACTCTCTCCCTTTCTGCAGTCGCAACGTTCGCTGTTCACGTCGCTCATCGCCTTCTTGTTGTCTCCGAGATTTTGCTCATTCTGCGTCGCGTAGTTGTCCAGCTCTTTGTTCCTCTTTGCCTTCCTGAACTTTTCGCGATCTAGTTCTTGTAGGAACGCCTGCGAGACTAACTCTTCTTTATTCCTCTCCGTAATGTTACCTTCGCGCTCTTTTTCAGCAACTCTGCCTATGCGAGCTTGTCGCTGCTCCTCACCTTCTTCCTCTCTCCGCACTCTTGCTCTTTGACTCCGTCGTTCTTGCTCCTCTGTTTCCTCTTCCCTTCGATTCTTGCTCTTTCAGCAACACTTTCTGGGCGAGCTCGTCGTTGCTCTTCTCCTTCCTGTTCCCTTCGCATCCTTGCTCTTTCTGCGTTTCTTGACCGATCCGCTCTTATTCTCCTCTCAAACTAGCTCTTTCAGCTGCTCTTGTTGGAGGAGCTCTATTCTGCTCGTCGTTTCCCTGGTTTCGTGTTGAACTAAGATTTCCGGAATTATTCCTTCCAATCTCGCTCATAATTTTCTGCAAAGAAGGTTCATATTAGGAGCGGAAGCTTGAATACGATCTACATAGAAGTAGCATCACATTCAGAGTCAGGCGTCTCAACAATTCATACGTGCCGAGAATGTTTGTTCATCGGTTTGACTCCCCTCGCTCCTCCACTGTCCTCTATGAAATTGAATATGACCCTCCCCTTTATGTTTTGCTTGTTTTTTGTCTTTCTCTTATCAGAATTTTCGCTATGTTTGAGCTGGCAGGAGTCTTCATTCTCTCCCTTTTTTCTCCCCTACTTCTATCCAAACAGATGAAGGTGCTGTAGGAGTGTATAATTTACATCGCCCGGCTCACGCCGGGCCCTCCTCCTTTTTGTGTTAACAAAATTGACTCAGCATTCCCATAATGCCGCCTTTATTACTAGCAAATTTGAATGCCTTGGGTACAAACTGGAGTCAAGAACTGCCACCTACCATTAGTGTTCCCAAACTGTCTATCCTGCCACCTTACCCCTTATAAATTTGAACATGGTGTATGCACACGGTGACAGTATTTATGGATTTTCGCTCGAACTCCGCCCTTCAGGGGAGGAGTCCGGCCCTACCTCCTACCATAATTGTTACGATGCCGCCTGTACTCCTACCAAATTTGAACGCTCTAGGTGCAGTGGAAAAAGTGATCGTGAAGTTTCGCTCGAGCCCCGCCCACTGTGGGCGCGGTCCAGCCCTGCCGCTTACCGTAGGTGTTCCAATCCTGCCGCCTGTACTCCTGCCAAATTTGAAAGCAGTAGTTCCACAGGGACAGGTGTCATGAGTTTCAGCGCAAACAACGCCTACTATGGGAGGGGTCTGGTCTAGCCACTCGCCTTAAATGTTCCTATCCTGCCATCTGTGACCCATTCAAATTTGAACGCCCTTGCTGCACGGAAACATGAGTTCCCATTCAGCATAAGAGCTCCCGTCAGACTCTCTCACCCACTAAGTGTTACCATTCTGCCGCCTGTATTGCTACGGGACTTGTAAGCTCTAGGTGCTTGGGAACAATAGCAACGAATTTTCGCTCAAACTCCACCCTTTTTTGGCGGAGTCAGACTCTCTCACCCGCTGTGAATGCCCCCATACTGCCGCCTGTATTCCTACAATTTTAAACGCTTTCGGTCGAGGGGACAAGAGTCATGAATTTCCGCTCGAACGTTTATTTCGCACAAACCCCGCCCCCTGTGAGCGGAGTCCGGTCCTGCCACCCACCATAAGTGTTCCCATCCTGACGCCTATACTCCTAGTAAATTTGAGCGCTTTCGGTCCACGGGGACAGGAGTTATGAGTTTCCGGTCAAACACATACATACCCAGTCCCACACAAACACACCAACAGACACACTTAGCCGGTTATATAAGTAGGATATTATATACAAGTTTATTACACATACTAGACGCAGCAGAGTAGGACAAGGGGGAGGGGGAGAGGACAGGGCGAGAGGGCATGATTAGCCTCGACGAAGGGTCGGCGAGTAGCCTGACGGTTAGTTGACATCCACGACGACGACCTCCACGCCATGAAGCGGCTGCCTTCATACCGTGGCTTCTGCATCAGTATGATGCTATATTGACGAAAGGCATGACAGCTTCCTTGTAGGTGTTGCGGTAAAGCGGACGGAATCCTGGCGGCTGTCTCGAGCTGACGCATGAATTGACATAGCTGACGCATGACTCGACAGAACAAACAAATTGTAACTTTTTGCAAAACAAATTCAACATAGGTAGTATCTCATAAGTTCCGTCACCGGTAAAAATGTAGTTGGGGAGGGGTGCCAGCGCCCTTTTGTGCTCTGCGTCCTGACACCGGCGGCAGAGTGCATAGAGATCGCAGAGATAGATTCCTCTCCTTCTAAAAGTTAGAGGAGGAGCTCCGGGAATTGGTTCACCCACCCCGGAGCTCCTCCTCTAACTTTTAGAAGGGGAGGAGCTCCGGGATGGGTGAGATGATTAGATGGGGCGCGCTTCGTTGCGCGCGTCCGTCCAAACTAGGTCACATCGCAGCCGTTGCATGCGGCGGGTCGGCCCGCGATACTTGACAGACGTAGCGGTTGTCAGTGGGGCATACGATTTGCGCTTGGTCCACGACAGTCAGCCACTGAGAAGATAACACGGACAAATGCAAATCATTCGCTCCACACACACTTGATGGTAATGTAATGTCATCTCGAAACCTCAGTGGAGTGCACCGCGCGCGAAGTGGGCGGGTTGACCTACTTTCGACGGACGCGCGCAACGGACGTTCGCCGATTAGATGGAGTAAGAAACGAAGAGACGCAGAGCACAAAAGGGCGCTGGCACCCACCAACTACATTTCCACCCCGTCACCATTCAAATCTTACTTTTCGGCCATGAACCAAAATAAAATAGTATGAATAAGATATGCAAAGCAAGTACAAATATTTGAAAAATGAAACAGGACAATAGTAGTCATAGAGTAACAAACAAAATGAACAGTCAAATACATTCACTCAGTAGCTGCTTTTGTTTGAACTTACTTCACTATCGTAATCAGCGGATAAAATGTATTATACCATAATAGCAGAATAAAGCATAAATCATAGCCGCAAATAAACAGTATACGGGATTGAGGCAGGAATACCAATCGCTCATCGACCGAAAATTGGGAAGTGTGCAAGAACTGTAAGTTGCAGGGAACTCGTTCGCAACTGCCGCGCGCAACAGCAGATAAAACCTAACTGTGCGTTCATGCACAAGGAAGGCACTATCCAGATGGAGCAATAGAGCGTCATGGACTCAAAATCTGCCTGAAGTCAGCATAGTTCAAAAAACGAGATCACGCTCGTGATCCATCGGCAATCATTCCATTATTGCAGATGTCGGGAGCCATCATACTTTTCTATCTGTTAACTACGTCCACAGTAGGTGAAAGGAATTGAAAGAACTGCAGTAAGCATCCTATTAAGGTTTTTTTTTCCTAGTAAGGTAAAGTGGGTGGACATTATCCCAAACCTCTTCATTAGAGTCACAGCGAACTGTGTTTGCTATTCGGTAAACAGTAGCGAATTAGGAGATGTTTAAAATACTTTACATAAGGTTCCTCATTACACTCCACAGAAGGGTTTAGAAGCTGCTGCTTGTGAATGAGAGGCGGCGTAGTTTTCACCCGAGCTCCCATGGTCGCTGACAAGCGCGCGGCAGTGGTTTTTCATGAAAAATCATTTTCATGTAAAATGAAAAGATAAGCAGAGTCAGCAAAAATGTTGAAGCATAGGATGCACGTACTGGCTCACCTGTCGGATTCAACTAATTTTCACTAACAACTATCATCTGTTTCTGTCATCTGTCATCAGATCATCTGAAAGGTAGGAAGATCAACGATGGGAGCAATGTTGAATACTGCCTTGCCAGTTTTCGTTTTCCGCTCTGGTGTGGTCTTTCGTGCTTGGTTATCACCAGTTGTGCTCCCTACTGGGAACCTAAGCTTAGGTATTTCTCCCAAATGTAAGTCGCGCTAGGACTTAGAATCTCTCGATAGTGGCAAGATTATAATATGCATTAGAACGACAAGTCAGATCCCTACACTCTTATTCTTATATGCAGTATTGTACATACAAGTAGATCATGATATCATATGGGTTCCACTGCAATGGAAATACGCGTTTATTATAAAAACTCATACATTATCCGTAGATAAAAGTACTAGTTAATTCAGAATAGTCGCTGACTTTGTAGTGCAATAAAAAGGAGAAATAAGTAACTCGAATTCTGCAAATATAAAATCCTATATCACATGCATAATAAGCACGCCCACTGCTCTCACGGATGACACTCCTTTCCTTTTCATTCATTCAAAAAATCGCTCTGGGAAGCTACGGAAAGAATGCATTCGGAGTTGGCTCTAAAACGGCAGTGATGTGACCTCTATAACGAGTGGATCTTTTAATCCTCAAGATTCCATTTTGACATAGTTAGAAGAGTTTCGAGGTGTTTTGAACAAGAAAGAAGGTGATGGTGTGCCCAAGTGCAGTATCAACTCGGCGCTTCAAGATGCAATACTGACACCTCCAACGGAAATGAAACGATCTAAAACAGTCATGAGCAGATCAGAGTAAACATTTTGAACAGTGGAAGATTTACTACATACGTTTATTCTGTGTCTATGTTCTTGTTCTCAATATACGGTGCAAGTGAGAGGGACCTGTATACTCTCAACGAATGAAATAGGATAGTGCTTGAGATCGAGAGCGTTGCTACTGGCCTTGTGAAGGAGCTGGCGAGCTTCACTTGACGAACGCGGAAGGCATGTAAAACTAACTTTCCTGTTAATAACCGTACTCATCTGCTCGTTCTCGCGGCATACGGGGACCGGCTCAAGAGAGAAGCAGACTCCGTGAGCAGCCTCGATAACGTGAGTCCTCTCGAGAATCGCTGCAGTTGGATCTTGATGAATGGGATAAACTTCTTCCTTTTCCTCCGATTTGCCTTCAAATCGATTCCTATGAAGTCGTTTGTCGTCCCTGTGGTTCCTATCACCTTCTTGAACATCGGGCCAATCCTCGATGGTTTCTTCACTATCCTCATGTTCCTTCAGCCCATAGTGATTCTTCTCACGTGAATAATTTTCTTCGACTCCGCACTGTAAAGGTCTGTATCGGACACAATAATCTTTGACATACTGACTGTTCATTACAAATCGTTTGCTACTCACTTCGCCTTTCAAAAGGCATGACTGATTGAGGTTCATGATGTCGATGTATTCCTCGTTGGACAAGAGAACTCGTAAACTTTCTAAAAAAATATATTCTTTCTAAGAAAGTCATCTTGGTCGAATTAGTGATTGTACCTCATCATCACTGTGTCCACAAAGACCGCATTGGTCTTCAGTCATATGTTTTCTCATGTAGATCCTAGCAGTGTAGCCGTCGAAGTGGACCATGAGATTCAAGAGCCTCACGCGGACCATGCTGGTTCCAACGGGCTCTATGCTGAGTTGTAGAGTTCATTAAAAACAGACTAGTCTATTAGAGGCTCCATTCCTACTTGTATTTCTCCATGGCTTCCTCGTAGACTCTTCTACCATTAACAAAGGCCACCAGCCTGTCATCCACCATTTCCACGATGATAACTTGCCCATGCTCGTTGATAATCTTCAGTTCCTGCAACAAAAAAGGGTGTTTTGAGTGGATGTTTGTGTTGACTGTTGTTTTTCGCCGGTGTGAGCGGTCCGAAAGCTGGGCATGAAGAAAGATTGATCTCCGGCGGTCGAACCCGTACACATTTAGCTACCGAGATCCAACTTCGTCTCTCCTTGTTGATGGCCCTTCAATCATAGCTTATCAGTATTCCCATATAGAACGTGATGAGCTGACTAATCGCTTCTGGCAGTGGTGTGTGACATAACATATTGATTTTCCCCATAACTTTCCAACACTGTGAAACATTCCCATGCCGCTCTGTGGAGAAAAAAGCAGTCAGCAAAAATACCAAGTCCATGTAAGTTACATCAGGAAGCTTACAGCTTGTGGTACAATGGCCGAGAATTTCCTTATAATCAAAAGGAAAAACACAAGTACGGGTTCGATCTCCGTCTTTCTTTCGTCGATGGCGTCTAATGGGAGAATGCTTTGAGCATATTTCCCATTAGTCGTCATCCTTGTGATAAGAAGGATTTGCTTGAACAATCGCTGTGAAGCGCACATCAACATACCTTCACGTCAGAGTCCGCTTCAATGTTCTTGATCATAACGGCATAGCGAGGATGTTTTGAGCACTCCTTTGCAACAACAGAATAGCAAGTGGTGAGAGGACTGCGGAAGGTAATATCTTCAAAGGTCTGGACCTTAGCGCTTTTCACTTCACATACAGGCTCGTTCAGTTCATAGTGGATGTCGCGCAGTGTCCTCTTTGCTATGGTGGGCAGGTACAGTCGAGGAACAACGACGTCGACCAGTTTCATTCGCTCGTACGGAGTGTCAAACACAACGTTGACTAGGCTTCGGGTAACGTAGTTAAATAGCACGTTCTGCAGAAGTCTGTTGTTGAACTTTCTAACCTTTCCAACACAGATTGCGGAGCTCCTTGTGTAGTTATAGGTTAATTCGAATAAGCTTTTGATATATGGGCTGATATGGTAATCAACAACTACTTTGAGCTGATTCAGACGAGAAGCCTTCAAAAACAAATCGTAGGCGGCGAGTCCTTCGAACTCCTTATCGACAATTTCAGACAATTTCTTTTGACCCCTACTCTGCCCTAGTTGGATCTTCATGATAAGCTCGTTGGTTTCATCTGTTCCCTACTTCATCACAAGGAGTCCTTGAACATCGCGGTGGATTTGGTTCCTTAATTCCTCGAGTGATGTTGGCCTCTTTGGGAAAACGAACTCCGTATCCATCATGATGTTCCACTCACTGCCTTCCCCGTCAGTAGGAGAACGCTTGCCTTCCACGGCAATCTTGCAGTAGCGAAGTCCGACGTCGCAAACAGAAGTGATTTCAACATTTCCGTAGTAGTCCACCATCGAGTCAACAGATTCGATTCCCAAGATCAAACGGTTCCTGTAGCCATCCTTCATCTCGATATCGCGTACAAATCTGTGGAACTGCTTGCGGTGTCTTCTATCGGCAAGGTCCTCGAGCTTATCAATCTTAGCCTCAAACACTTTCTCGGACTGAGGATTAATGTTATTTGTATCTAATGAAATGTTCTCAATTCCTCGGCTGTTTAGGAACAGACGAATTTTCTTCGGTGCATCGTGAGTGGGGATCATGAAGAGTTCCCAGTCGTGCTGTCCGAGCAGAACGTTGCTCATGTTCCATTCACGGAGCCAATTTCCACGAAAGACCGTCTTCAGTCCCCAGATGCTATATACCAACTCTTTTTGTTTGTTGATCTGTCTCCACTCAGGCAAAACAACTGTCCTTATTTCTGTCTTACCGAATGTTTCTTGCCCGCTGAGAAAACGGAAGAATGTCATTGGCCGTGAAGTGAAGCGCGCAATAGTCTTTTCCTTGGTAGGGATACCGAAAGCCTTTTTAAATTCGAACCCGTTCCTGTAAGTGATTTCCATGTCGAAGTCAATAGGAAGATGAGCTTCAATCGAATGTGCTATCCTCACTCCCTGCTCAAAAAGGGGATTCCAAAGACGCATTTCAAATAGTTCAGTGGACGCGGCTGATGGAACTGTATTGAGCCGCAGACGAAGTCCATAAGGGACTATCTCCAGTGTGAATTCACCTTCGGCATACACGACTGTGGGCAACTTGTATTTCACGATAAGAGGCACACCAAGAGGGGTTGGGATCTTTCTGATTGTCTCATGAAGAAAAGCAAAGCTATAAAGTTTGAACTCGGAGTCACTTTTGAAAAGGCGATCGATTTCCCTCTCCTCGAGCTTTCCCTCCCGGATAAACTTTCCGAGTAGTTCGTCTACGATCTTTTCGTCGATCGGGAGGACTGCGTAATCCATGTCTTTATAGCGGAGATAAAGCATGGCATAAGGAGTTCTGTCGTCAACAGGGCTTGAAATGATGATAAGCTTCTTTCCAGCGCCTTCTAGAAGGGGCAATAAACTGCATATATGGTGTCCACACGCCACCGTGTTCCGATTCTTCTCCATCTTCATCAGCTGATGCGTCAGATTGTGAATGAACTTTCCGGTATTCTGCTGATTGGCACCAAGCTGAAAGGAGTATTTGTTCCACATCCCTGAGAAGACTGAGTCAAGCCCAACCATGACTTCCTTGGGCCAAAAACTGCTCTTTCCGAAGATAGTGGCGAAGTTTATATTGATGCCGGTCATAATTTTCTCAATGAACAAAGGCAAGTGCTTGTAGGTACTCGCTAAAACGCGTTCTCTGCGCTGATAGCGGCTCTTACTAAAAAGCGGAAGGATCACCGAAGTCAAATTCCTGTTGCAAATATGGGTAGACTCGGCGAAGGTGTGAAGCATGTCAAAGGTGAAGGCTGCTACCTCCAGGTTGGGCTCGCGCTGCATGGCAGATATTATTCGGATGATTAAGGGTTGACGAGGCAAGGTCTCCATGATACGAGGAAGAGCAACCATTCTAAGCTCTGGGTCCTCGGCACGACTCTTGTAGACTGGCATCAGAATGGATTGAATTTTGTGTGGGGAATTTCTCAGGAGGCGTAGTGCATCAACGGCTTCTATGCGAACAGGCAGCTCTTCACGTTTATCCAGAATGATCTTCTCCAGCTCGTAGACAGAAACATCGAGTCCAGCGTTGGCAAGAGATTTCAAAGCGAGCACCTTCTCGTAAATGGAGTCCGCCTTCTCGAACTGTGTCATCATAATGTTTAAGTATCTTCGCTTCAACTCACGATGGTCTTCCTTTAGAAGAATCCTATCTTCTGTTTTTCCAACTACTGAGCGCATGAGAGATCCAATGGCGAGCCAGATTGTCTGACGGATCACAGGAGAACTCTCGACAGCATCGGTCATAGCAAAGTGGAGAAGCTCGTCGACGATCTTGCTCGATGGATATGGCGTTTCTTGGATGATCTTTAGCAGATGCATTAATTTGTAAGTCTCGATTTTTTCCTTGTTTGTGATGATGCGAAGAAGATGAGTGACGGCGTTTGCTGTTCCAGCAACGGCGAGTGAATGCTCAACCATGCTCCTGAGGCGCTTGTCACAGTAATCATAGTACACCGAGTGTACAATGGACAGTTCTTCCAATGTAAACATGCGGAATATGATAACTAGCCGGGAAAGAAGGTGAGTGGCTTCACGTCTGTTTTCCTCAAGCGCATTCATCTAATCGATGATAGTGCCGACTTCCTTAGTCTTGTCGTTGACAGGCTCGTAGGGTTGAACCTTACCGTCATCGCCGTACATGTAGGAATGCTCAATTTGCTTATCAATTTCGTCGCTGAAGATCAAAGTTTCCTTTTTGCCATCGATCCACTCAGATTCACGTCCGATCTCCTTTACGTCTTCTAGAATGAGTTTAGTATGGATCTCAGTCTTCATAACCGGCTGGTCCTTGTCAGTAATGAGGTACGTAGAGCTGACCTCAACCTTCCTGAGTTCTTCTTCTTCGAGCGAGCAACTGTAGACGCTGCTGGGCTCAAGGATGTCATTCCCCTTGCATACGGGACACTCGGTCAGATAGCGGAAGTTGTACTTTGCCTCAGAGCGACCAGCACACTTGTTGAAATTGATGGACTTAGAAATCTCAGCGACGGAGTCATTTTTCTTCAGGACAGTGTAAGCAACTTCGCAGTCACCTTCGATGGTTCTCTCCAAGACAGTGAAATAGTGGCTATCGTGGTCTGTAGGGAGGGATCTATGTGTTCTTCCTATCTTGTGAAGGTTGAGCTGAAGCATGTTGATGATGGAGCGCTTTACGTTGGCTGACCACGTTTCGTCTCTATCAGATAAGACCAAGCCAGGAACTATGCCATTTTCGTAAATGAAGCGGACTGGCAGTTCAAGAATACTAGTGTGCTCCTCCGAGATAGTGTGCACCTTCAGTTCGTCCATCGGCTTGTTGAGTCTTCTGTGATAGACTTCTCCAGCAGCAAAGTGAGCATCCTTCAGCTTGAGAATAGCGCGATGATCGTCAAGAATCTGGACATGGACCACGGCACGGATGCGAGACACAGTGGTGTTTACTGGAAGAGGGACTCCTGAGTGAGCTTCTCCTTCAAATAGGAAAACGTACTCGTTTTGTTGTATCAGAGGAGACGGATACCGTAAATGATGAGTAGCGAGGGTGACGCCAGCAAAAATCAAGAGGGCGAGCCTCATGATCGAGCGCTTCGATTGTGACAACATTTAGTTGCTGATCAGTTATAACTGGGTTATTGACACATGTCAGAACTTCATAAAAGTCTAATGGTCAATCATTCTTGCCACACATCGTTTTGTTCTCTAAAGTCTTACTCCAAAGAATCCATTGCCAGTGAAGATGGCGAAGAGGAAGTATTCCAAAACTCTGAATAATTTTTAGCATGGGAGGAAGATGATGTAAATCCTGCGTTACTCTAGTGATACGTAGCATTTTTTTTAGTTGTTTATAAAATTACTCATCAGGCAGTGGTTGGTAAGCGTTTAACCCATGTTTTTGTCTGTACCCACGCTTTGTTCTCATTCAGATTATACGATTATGGGGCTGATGTGACCTGTGACGACAGGCTCCACCTCCATCAGCCCCTGCTCTGGTGTCCACCTTCTCCCCACCTCACACTCCTCATCAGCTCTCGCGGGCTCTTTGTCCTCTCTGCAAATATGCTAGTAGCCACAACATGGGTCTCTCATCGAAAACCGCTGTGTGTTTGCGAATTATCCGCATTTAAGTGGCGATTTTCACATGTTTTTCGATAAAACGTCGCACTAACAAATTTCTCTTTACATTCCGAAGCTACACTGTAACTAGTTACACTTCCCTCGATAACTCTTCGAGTCTCACAGTCGTTCTGCACTGGTTTAACCTATTTAACTGTTCATTTCAGGGTAACGAAATGATATCAATCGGTGTCATCCTTGCTGCAGCTATCGTCGTGTGCTCATCACACGGTGGTGTTCGAAACCGTAAGTGCATCCAGTTCTTTTGCCGTTCGCGATTCGAGGGGAATCCTCTGCAATGGGCGAAAAATCTAGTCGGATACCTCACAGTGAGCAAGGACTGTGAAAAATAAATGAAAATATCCTGATAAAGATGAAATGCACGTCAATGGAAATCTTATTCGTGACTTCCCCACTCTGTAGTATTAAAATGAGAAAAGAGGACGCATAATTAGAGAAAAAATTTCCTGTTTCCTCAGCAGCTACCTTCAGTTAGTAATGGGTAAACCACAGTAAAAGAGGACAAAACCTTGAACTTCAAATTACAGTAGTATGGTTATATCTTAAATTTTATGGAACTTCATCTCAAACTTGAAAGTAAACTATAATCGTGGTCCTCATCAGAACTGGCTCACTCCCTATATCTTTCGCCCAAGCTTTTAGCTGATTTCTGGTAGAAAACTAGTGATAGGTAATTACAGTGGAAGTATTTGAACTTATTACTCTCTTTGGAAAACTTTGGAAAAGATCCCGAATCCCCGAATCAAAAGTGTAGGTATTCCTGCGTTTTCACCAGCCACCTTATTTTTCACGTTACGCCAGTGTGTTCTACTGAGTTTAGTTGAGTACACACCAGTTTTTGTTTTGAATACTGAAAGGTAATCCTAATTCATTTGACCCCGGCATAAGGCAGTAATGCGGTGAAGCAGATTTTCACCCCAGAAATGGAATGGGGATATCAGGTGGACTTCCTCAAAGATGTAAACTTTGAGTAGTTCTGTACAAATTTTTCTCACCTACTAAGTGACCTTATACAAGAGAATGACCTTTTCGAATAGCCGAATATTTGAAAGCAAATAATGTGGCATTCAACACACACATTTTACGCTGTATAGTGACCATGGTATTCTCACTTACGGCAATTGTACTGCAAGTGTTGTCATTGAACTGGAAGTGATGATGCGTGAACTGAAAATTCGTGAAGAGGCGTGGAATTTCGCTTAGCAATTGCTTGCTTTGTACAAGTCAACCCGAATTTGGCTATTACTTGAGCAATTGTTAGATGCTCAACAAAACTGCAATGACTAAGTAATTGGCTCTACAGCAGTTCTGCTGTAAATCAGAAGGAAAGGATTTCTAAGGGGACTATTTCTACAAACTGCGGAAAAATTCTTTTCTAGTAAATAAACAGAAGAGTAATTTGAAGAGAGCCAGGGTTGCTGGTAGAAGCGATGAAAACACTGTTAGCCTCAGACAGTAAATCCATTTACAGAAACTTTATTAGATGGGTAGCTCCTCTTGCTCTTTCCTCATAGAAAAGTTCGGACTCAGCTTATTTCAATTTTCTTTCTCGCCACAAGTGCCTTATGTACGAATAACTGCATTCATTTCCATTGTTCTCAAGCCATCTAATCTGGATTACTGCGAAGTACATCTATAAAGCAGATAAAGGTTAATGGCACTATTTATTGTTGACCTCTCCTACTTTAGGGCTCTGATCAACGCTATAGGAGGCCCTTTGTGGACGGCTCTGCATTCACATATAACGCAATGAAATAAAAAGGACGTCGGCCCGGCCTACCACTTGCGCAATCCCTTTATGGATCAACCTACTATTACGCAGAGCCCTAAATGCACTCACGAAAGGCCATCAAAAAAGAGGTGACCCAAAGAGAACGAAAGTGCGTGGAAACAACAAGTGCTAAGGGTCATGCTATGAGTGCTCTTGAGGTCTGCAAAGTCGTAAGGTCGCCCTATTACTACTGGTTGCTTGGAGAAAGAAGTGAAGTTGGATTCTGCAAAAAGGAATTATACTCACTATGTTGTGAATCGTGTCTGAAGGGCATGTTCCTCAAATTTTCTGCTTCAAGGATACTTACCCTGTCTTGTTTGTTTCCTAATTATCCGAAAAGACAAAACATGACTTGGCGGATGCTCAATTTTTCCTTAACTCATCCGACGCCCTCAAAAAGCAGTGGACTGGGTATGAATGACAACTGTAGAGACCCTATGATAAGAAACACTATAGTATTTGTTCTAGATAGCTTTCTTTTATGAAATCGGAAAACCCAAGTGTGTACATTGAACAGTTATACTTACTGATCAGTTAGTTTTTCTGTGATCAAGACTGCCTACTCAGTAGGTCTGTCTGCCTTCCTATAATCAGTATTGCCTACGGCAACCAAAGGTAACATAGAAGTGAAGACGTATCTTATACCCTCTACTTCAATCTGCTCTTGCTTTTACCTCTGAAATCAAATTGAAGAGCGGAACTTTGTTGAAATCGGCAGATTTCCGGATTCTCATGACTTCCTCCTTTTCGCATGAGTTGTATAGGTCACATAAGCATGCAAATTTATCTTCATGGAATACATGCGCCCTGAGAACCCTTCACAACAGAGGAACCGGGAAATCAGGAAGTTAGGGGTTTCAAAAATATTGGAAATAGGGACCGCACAGTCTTCTCGCGGGATAGAGTCTAACAGTATCACTTTACCAATGCTCTGCCTTTTCACTGAGGGATTGAATAGAATGATAGGGTAATTTCGCATTCGAACCACCTTTTGCATACCTATGATTTGCAGATATAAAGTAATATAAGAGCTGGTTAAGATTATAGCCGAAAACAAGAAATGTAATTGTGCAGAGCCTTCATAAATCTACTCAGAAGAGTCACTAGGTCCGGTCATTTTAGGGGGCTCGAGTAGGTAATGTGAACGCATATTATCATTATTGTTATTATTATTGTGGGAAAGACCTTTCATATGTTTTCTGAATGATTCAAACCTTATGTTACCGTTTTAGTATCGCTTTCTCGATCAACAGGTTCCAATGTTTTTAGATTCCACTGAGATTATTCATCGCGATGTTTCCTCACAAGCGCGTGCCCCCGTGAAGAACGATTACATTCGACCGTGCTACTTTACCAATTGGGCTCAGTACAGGTGAAAGGCGTTTGATCACAACAACAACAGTTTTATCAGTTGACAATAAACAGCTTAAATGCGAATGCTAAGCTCTAAGAGTTAACGACCACATTGTTTAGAAATGGGCGAGGAAAATACATGCCTGAAGATTACATACCTGAACTTTGTACTCATATTCTGTTCGCATTCGGCTGGATGAATGAAGACTACACTGTCAGGTACGCTTGTACGCTGCGTTACCTCATGATTTTAGTGAATTTCTTTCATGGATTTCGTACACATAAACAATAACCCTTGGCTCAAAAAAGTAGAGAACTACAACCCGGGCAAGCCGAAGGCGTCGGTCATGTTCAGTAGGTCTGCAGAATCAAATCCCTTACAGAACGACAAAGGCTCAGCAACTCTCAGGAAGAATTTTGAGAGATGCATTTGTAAGGTAGTTGAGAGGAAACTTGTACGGGCCATGGCTGGTCCATAGGGTTCCATCCAAAAGGCGAATTCACATCAACTTTGTTAACATTCCAAGTAAATAAGTCCAAGTCGGTGACCTGCCTGCATAGTGTCCAAGCAAAGTTTGTGAGCACAGCCTTCCAGCTGTAGCACTGGAGAATATGTAGAAGAATACCCATTCAACTTGAGATTCAGTCACAAAAACTATATGCAATAAGTTTGAATTTTCAGAGCATTTGATCCAGCTGATCTGCCAAATGACTGGGCCGGTGAGGGAATGTACAGACGTGTCAATGCTCTCAAACGTAAAGACCCTAACCTCAAGACCCTTCTTTCCATTGGTGGATGGAGTTTTGGCACACGACTATTCAAGGTAAGAATTTTCGTGGCTGTAGCTATCTCAATTGGAAAGTCCGCCCTGTATGGATAAATATATACATCCGTCGATTTATTTTCTTCCGACGGTGGAAATGAGCTATTTTCACCAAACCTCAAAGTGAGTAACTGAATTTACTTAAGTAGTAGTATAGCTGTTACGCCTTACTGTAAAGCAATGTACCACACACTTGTTGAGTCTGAAGAGCTGAATATTGTAAAAAGGCACGACGACATTTCCTTTTTTTTCCTTCACCTGCGATAGTACAGGATGAAACAGTACTTCCACCGTCTCTGTAGGCATTGATATGGGTCAGGCTACTTGCTTCAGTGAAAGAGGTAGTCTGAACAAATGACCAGGCTGTAATTCAGTGGCGTTACTGGTATACAGCTTTGTGATAACCTGTGGTGATCTCTATCTGCCTTCAGGATATGTCAGAAACACCCGTCCGGCGAAAGGTCTTCATCACTTCCGCAATTGCATTTGTTCGTCAGTGGGACTTCGATGGAATCGATATCGATTGGGAATATCCATCTGGTCCAGCCGATGTCAGGAACTACGCCAGCTTCATCTCGGTAGGTAATTGTTATTAGATCTGGAGAAAAGAACCCATTGTGTGAGAAATGAGCAGCACTTGCAAAATCGGAACGCATCACCTCTTCAGAGGGACAACAAATTGGAAACCGTACCTTGATTGAGAGAAAACTGGTTGCGTGCAAGGACAAAATTGAGCAGAATTGGAGACTTGAAGAAAAAATTTCTGCATTACACAACCCTGATCTTGTCCTCCCAGACCATCAATCTGGGTAATGTCGAAAAAGTTTGAATAATCTTGGCTAGTCCAATACCTAGTAAGAAGTTCGAATCAAATGGGCCAGTTCACCCGTGAAACACGAAATTGAGCTGCATGCACTGAACATTTGGGTAACATTGGGCCTATACAGTCCACTTTGCCTTTTGCTTCTATCTTCACGTCATTTCAGGAGCTCAGCGAAGCATGTGCAGCAGAAGCGACATCGTCTCAGAAGCCTCGCCTGCTCGTTACAGCTGCAGTGTCTGCTGGAGAAATCACGATTGACGCTGGTTATGATGTTCCGGCCATTGCTGAGTTTGTTACAGCTAACTTTTACTCTTTCTGAGCGAATGTGGTTGAATGAAGGTAGTAATATTATTTTTAGCCACCTTGACTTCATCCTACTCATGAACTACGATTTTCACGGAGCCTGGAGCGCCGAGACCGGCTTCAACTCGCCTCTCTACCCTAGAGAGGACATGCGAGAATCAGAGAAAGTGTGGAATATCGTAAGTAATCACTTCATCTGGACAATACTACTTGCACTATTACTTTGCTCACGGTAATTCTCTGGAATCTCTCAGTCAACTACGATCTGGTCTAATTACAGGACTGGGCGGCCAACCACTGGAATGAAAAGGGTATGCCAAAGGAGAAGATAATTATCGGAATACCAACATATGGTCGAGGTAGGCATTAACTGCCACCAATTACCGTAATTACAAAAGATAGCAAAGGAGTACAACTTGTAATACAGGATGGACTCTGAAGGATAAATCAAACATCAGTGTGGGAACGGAAGGATCACCTGCCAAAATCACTCCATTCACTCAAGAAGCAGGCGTTGCATCATTTTATGAGGTTTGTACTGATGTGTAAACACTAGTGAAACAGGGGTGTGGTGCAGTAGGAAAGAAATTGTCGCATCGCGGCGAAAGACGCCGCGCGCGAAGGGACGTAGCAGAATGCAACGGCGAGTAAGAAATTCAGGAACAGAAGATTTAACAGTAGGATCATGCGAAAAGTACTAATCGCATAGCGATTGAGCTGTATAAAGAACACCAGAACTGTTATAACTAGGCAAATGCTTCGCGACAGCTGCGTGCGGCGGATCGATTACACGAAACCGTTCCTACTGCCCGTTCCCCATAAAACAGACAACATCTGATAAATAGGAAGAGTCTTCATATCAATGAGCACTACCGGATTTCACACTGTCATACGACCCCTCAATTAGTAAAGGATCGTTGAGGAGGGGATTTTCCGTTGGGTAGAAACTGCGGAGTAATTTCTTCAAAGGTTACCATCACATTTTCCAACCCTACCCACAGAGACTAGGAATAGCCTCTAGACTTCTCCATGATGTTTGTGCGCTGTACCAGCTGGCTATCCATAGCATTCATCAGCCTCCTGAAGACTATTTCATCCCTGGAACTGGACATAGCCCATCTTCCTTGCGTTTTACCTGTGTTTGAAGCTTTAAAGGGGTGAATGAAGCCAAATTGTGCATGTCTGCAAGAACAGCCAGAGGACAGGTCCAAAAAAACCTCAAGGAATAAATACGGTTTCAAAATAACGTTTCTATGAAAAAAAAATTGAATTGATTCCTAAGAAGTACTCGTCAGTGGAACGGCGGTGAATTTTGACTTGACTGATAAATTGGAAATTGAATAATTTGGTAAAAGTTTACCTAAGAATCCGTGTATCTCATTTGGTAAAAGGTTTTGCTTTGAAATTTCATACACTCCCGATTAATACCTGTGGCTTCAGTTCTGCGAAATGCTGGCCACTGGTGCAACTCGTTACTGGAGCTCCGAACAACAAGTTCCATATCTTGTACAGGGGGATCAGTGGTGGAGTTATGATGACCAGGAATCAATAGCCAACAAGGTTTGTCATCTTATCCCAGAAACTGTAAGCCGGAAGGAGCTTTCCGAGCCTCTTCCCAATGTTATTACTCCAATATTTTACAGATGGCATGGATCAAGCGCAATAAATATGGTGGAGCCTTTGTATGGACATTGGACTTTGATGATTTCAACGCCAAGTGCTCGAACAGTGACGGACAACGTTATCCGCTCATCAGTATCATCGCAAAGGAGCTTGGAGGAGTCACAATACCCTGTGTAAGTAGTGGTTGCTTGAATAAAACGTCATGGAATAGTGCCAAAATCAACGATGACTTTAATTTTGCTTGTAGTCCTTTAAAAAGAAACTTTGATGGTACGGTCCATCACGTGAGATGTTCCAGAATGGCGATTCTTCAAGAGGAACAACAACCACGAGCAGACCATCAACCCAACAACCAACACAACCACCAACACAGCCACCAACAGAACCACCAACCATGGTGTCAACGGTTACACCATCAACAACTAAACCACCTTCAAACTTCTGCAAGGAAATGCCCGATGGATTCCATGCCTCGGATAAGGAGTGCACGCAATTCATGCTATGCCTTCATGGTCAGTTATTCCCTGTCATCGCCATCTACGGGAAGGGAAGGACCCTGTTAGTGACCATTTAGCTAGTGTTCGTGCGCTAACATCTCATTACTAGTTTCTGGTAACCTCGTGTGACGTTTTAGCCTCAGACGTGCTCAATGTCTCTTTGCGTTTGACTTTGTTTAGAAAGTAAACTTGCTCCTGGCAAAAAGCTGAAAAACTCCACCATGGCCTTGAGCTTGCCTGAAAGCGTAAGCGCCTTGCGCCTTCTGTAGCACTGAATGGGCACAAAAGATTACTGCCTTCTATACAACTTTATTACTGCAGTATTCTTATTAAGTAGAGGCTCCATAGCCACATGTCTTACAATGAGCCAGATCCGTCGTTGTGAATTACGATTCCTTTTCGATATTCTTGGGGATTCCTCCCCTCCCCCTGTGGCTCATCAATAACACTTTCTTGTTTTTAACTGATTTTCACTGAGAAGCAGCTAACGTGTAAATTCTCCGGCGGAGGTTTGTTGGAGAAACTAGCGGGTCTCTTTATCGAAACCGATTTTCAGGCGCTTCGTACACAATGTCGTGTCCTACTGGAATGCATTTTTCACCTCCGAAAGGATATTGTGTGCATATCGCTGACTCGAGCTGTTCCCCGTCCACTACCGTGACCACCTTCTCGCCAACAACTACAAAAACACCTGGAAATGGTTGGTTGTTACAGACACGGACAATACTCGTACTATTTGTATAGAAGTGAAGATAAATAAACCATTTCCTTATTGAAAATGGTTTGAAGGAATAGTCAGGAATAGTCCAAGACATTCATTCAGTGGAGTATTACCACGAGTTTGACTCGCACGTAGGAGGAAATAGTTGAAGGATCAAGTAAAAGTAGGGTTATACAACAAGTTAGTAAAGAAACCCTCACGAAACTATTCCGATGATAAAATGAGGAGCTGCAAGACAATGCCTCTAAAAACATATTTCGTGTTTTGGTTAATGGGACCCTCAAAAAAAGGGGCTCTACCTTACCCAGTTGCCTCCATTTACTTCTTTACATTTCACTGATAGCTGCCTTTGGAGACCAAACTTTCTAAATTAACACTGCAACTGCTAACCCCCTACCAAGGCCACTCAGTTCTTCACTGTACCGTATTCTGTCGTGGTGACACCTGCTTCAGTTTCACCCAATTTTTACTGGAAGTTTTTCTAACCATCAGAGCCCCATTTTCAGCATTTGAATGTGGCTCAGATGGATTCTATGCTGATATAAAGAACTGTAAAAGGTTCATCCGATGTGTGAACGGGAACCCCTACGGTTTTGACTGCCCAAAAGGTAGGTATTATGTACGAGTTTTACCGTTTGAGACTGTGGGAATTCTGGAGCATTACTTTTTTTCGAGACACCTACAAGCCTTCTAACCTCTTCTGATTTCAGGTCTTTCATTCCATGCTGATTCTTTGATGTGTGATCATCCAGATCCGTCAAAGTGTGCTGGTTTTGCCTAAATACTACTTCCACTACTTTTACCGATCAAATAATTTTCACGACTGTTGTATATAGTTTTCGACATTACCTATGCTTTTAGTGTCTTTGGGCTCAGCAGATCACCCCGCTTGTCTTTCCATTGATTTCACTTGATATTCGTCCTAGCACTAGTATTACTTATTGTTACTGGTTTGTTTAACGCAGTATTAATAAAGCAGACTCAAAACAATTTGTTTGAAATATTCATTATATGAGAAATAACAGTATCATCTACTGCTCAGTAACATATGAGTACACCAGAAAATCTCAATATAACTTAGCACAATGTTTATTGAGCTGAACAACCCGGATTCGGCACTCATACTGCTTGTTAGGGCACAAAATACAACACGCGTAGAGTTGTAAAGGAATGATAATACAAAGGATGAACGGATAAAATTTTTCGGTGTTCATCAATCCCGTCTGACCGATGCGCCCCATATTCGACACACATTCAGAATCGTAGTGACGAATTGAATGCGCATGTGTTTCCCATACAATGACTTATGATGGCCAGCCGATGAACAAGTCGGTGTTTTCATCCTCCCAAACGAGTCTGGTACTAATCAACCGACCCTGAAGGGATGGAAGGTTCGATTGGCCCAGGCGGATATCGAGCCGGGATTTGAACCCGTGACCATGTGTGTTTGATAGTGCGCCACTTGGCACTATACCACTTAGATGAAAATATACTAATAACAATTACCCAAGTAACAAGTCACTGCCCAAAATAAGTGAATGGCTGCTTGAAATGTCAAGAAAATACCGAAAAGCTGTGCTATCACGACAAACGCTTGAAAAGGTATATTGGTCGGAATCGAAAATTCTTTCCATATTCTGTGGAAGAATTGGCGTACACAGTTGCACAGAGCTTTACCGGGTAAGGTCTCCGAAAACTGCTGTGAAACTTCCTGAAAAAGAGCTGCTATTCCTTGATTTATAATTTATCGTATAGATTACGAATTAGCAGAGGAGATGTAAAAAGACATGAAAATAGTCAGGCTCGACTTACCAGGGCCGTCTTTTTACCCGTTTCCGGCAGATACATATAATTTATCACAACGTAAAAAATATTAACAGTAATGAAGGGAAGCAACACCAGCGCAGTCCCAAGTTTGTTCACTGCCGTTAAAAGTATAGCCGTTACAATACCACCAAACACGTTCTGAAATTACCAGTCATCCAGGTGAGGCAAAACAAGTAAAATAACAAAAAAGGAAAGTAAATAACAAAAAAGCGGCAAAGGAGCATAGCTTTTGGAAGGCACGGCTCACGGTAATATCGAGTTACTCTTCCCAACATGATCATCGAAAAAAATTGTCGAGAATAGCGCTTCGATAGCGAAGATAGCGAAAAAATTGGTAGTGTTCGTGAAGTGTTCAGCCTCTCAAGCGTAGTTGAAATAAGGGGTTGTACGAGATTATCATGAGTGAAATTTGAAGGAAGGGGTATTTGGACGAGATTCCAGTTGATGCAATTACACAAGGAAATGGCTAACTATGCCGAAAATGCAAAAATTGCCATTCACTTGACAATGGGTTGTTTAGTTGTTTAAATTCTCATTATGTATGCCCCATTGTGAACGGCGCAGCCTCGACAACCCCGTAAAAACGCGGCCGACTTCAAATGAGGACGTCGTCGACGAAGCCGGTCTTCTGGTCCTTGTTGCGCCCTATCTAGGCCGTTTTTCAACCCGACAGCGTCTCATATGGCATTCTCGTGGGCCACAGGTTAGTCCTGACTGAAAATCTAGGAAAACATTTGCACCGCGACTGTGCCTTTAAAGTTACTCCTTTGTTGTAAGATTCGGTACCGAAGCGTCTCAAAGCCAGAACTGAGCGGAAGTTGTGCCATTTGCGGCAGGAACTGTCCTAATCATAGGCCACATTCTTTAATTTGGCAGTTTGATTTTTATCACCGTCTAAAATTCTTGTAAATTGAGTCAGTTCGCCGATCCCAGATGGGAGGATCCGTGGAGGTTGAGTCGTGCGATGTGAGCGTGCTTTCCATATAACTCAGACTGATGGGCTTCTTTTCGTTCGTGGGTGCAGAGCAGATGATACACAGTGTACTGCATCAGACAAAGGTCGGTGTATACAAAATCGAGACCTTGTTTGTCAAAAGTGAAATAACATGAGGAAATTCCATGTGAAGCAGCGACCTACACAGACATTAGCCATGACACTTATTCTAGTAACGGCTCCGCATGAATCCCATTACGGGACTTTCTGGCATTTAGGGACTCAATGAGTCCTTCATTGGCATCGGCTTTTTAGTCGCATCCAATCGTTCCCGATATATGGTAAGTACTTGAACTGGAGGCTATGTCTCCCTCTCCAGGCACTATGGAGAATCCCCTTGTCTAAGTGGATGGGACAGACTGAAGCTCTCTTGATCAGAAACACTGACACCACACCGACTATATAATACCAGTCGGGCCGCCCGGCTAACGCCGGGCTTCCCTCCTTCTTATGGTGACGCCCAGCTTCGCCGGGCGGTCCACCTTTTTGTAAAAAATTTGCTATGCGTAACTAACTCTCCGAATTCTCCTTTTTCCTTGAAAGCTCTACACCCTCAGTATTTGCTCCGAATCGAGAGCGATTTTTTCTGTAAGCC